GGACGTGACACGGGCACGGTCTGCGGCCCGTGTTTGTGTGTCTGTGTGCGCGCCAGACTGCCGCCCGGTCAGACAGCCGGCGCGGTCGTTCGTGCGTGACCCCCCACCCCCCACCCCCCCCCCCCCCCCACCGGGCGACCCGGACCGGTCAAAAGGTGAGACATAGAGGATTCTTCATGGCTCCGAGTGGAAGATAAGGATATCTTTTCCAAGCGGGTTACTGAAAAACCGAGCGACGAAGGAGCGAGGTTTTTCTGTAACACGCGAGGAAAAGATATCCGATCTTCCACGAGTGAGCCATGAGGAATCCTATATCTTTCTATGTTGAGGTTTATTCTTAATTAAGAAAATAATATATTAAAATGCATTCATCCATGTAAAAATAGATTCAGAGTAGTTTGTTCTTATTTCATAAGTTTCATCCATAAACAACCATTAAAAATGTCGTTCGGTTATTGACCCATCATCACTTGAACTCTTTATTTTTCGTTATGAACCCTCGAGACCTTATCTTTGCATCTCAGAGGGATGCAGAGATAACAAATTCTTATCTCTGCATCTCAGAGGAGTGCGAGATAGAAATATCCCTGCACTCTAGACCCAATGGCAAATAAACCTCAACTAGAAAGATATCCAGAGCAACGCCAGGGGCTGATTCACAAGGGATGGCGGGGCGGGAACAGTGGGCAACAGGCAACGGAGCTGTAATGTAACAGCGAGAATCGCCTTTATCGATTTATGAAACGGATATACTAGGAAATCCCGCACCTTCCAAAAATTTTGAGGATAAACCGCATGACCACCTCACATTTCCTCAAAATGCTCAGACAGCATGTCACTCAAATGCAAAGAAAGCCAGGCTGGCTCTCCCTTGAAAATATACCGGATAGCAAAACTTCCACGGACGGATGCTTTAAATAAGTGCTATTTTACCAATTTCCCGAACCATGACAGCGTAATTTTAAGAAAACATTTTCCCAGTTCTTACATGTTAACAACCAGAATCTTGAAAGATTGAATGAAAGACCATCCACAAATAGCTGCCATCGACACAACCGCATTCAGGCTTCCCCAATGACAAAACGCCACGCCTGCAAAACCACGTTCGCGTGCGCGCTTCTCACATAGCTGCACGTGCATCTCATCCAATTCAAAGATTCTGACATCCGCACAGCACTGAAAACACTCATTTCGTGTCCTCGTGACCTTACAAATCGTGTCCTCTGCAAAAAGGCGACCAGCTTGTAATTCGCATCACTTATTTGTCCTTGATCCTGTCAAATCGCCCCTCCCCCTCCCCACATACTCACTCTTCCAATGTCCGAAACTGAATCAGTCCAGCCCGAGTCCCCCACAGAAGCCTGGCCATTTACGATCAGAGGCAAACTTCAGAGCGTTTCAGGTCTTCCCAGCGAACCCTCGCGGACCGCTCTATTTCAGCGAACAACGCGTAACGTCCGTCCGGCCTCTATTCAAGTCGTCATCGAATCACCGGAACAGGTCACGAATTCATAAATCAGGCCACGGCAGCGGCCTTGCAGTCGGTTGGCGACGAGCGCACGGGAACCCCGGCTCGTGGCCGCCGCCGGCCGCCGCCGCCGCACCGCCGTCGCCGTCCACCGCCACCGCCGCCGCCGCCGCCGCCCACGAAGAGCGCCCGGACAATCCCACCAGCGACGCTGAACTCAGTTCCGACAAAGTGCTCATAATCACTAAGCGGCTCATCCTTCGAGCTCCGCGCCGCCGACTATCATTGCAGACGCGGCCGGCGACCGACAAAACGGTCCTTGTTAGCGCTCGAGCGAGGGCTCGAGATTTATAGTCTCACCGGCGGCCTTTCAACTAGCCGCCACCGTGTGCCCACCTGTGCTAGACAAAGTCATACCGCGTCATTAGTCCCATATATAAACCCCACATTACCCCATATATAAAACAGTAACCGGCTAGTCAGAAAACCGAGCCTGCAATCAACCGACTCTCCTGCGCGGAGGAGCCTGATTAAAGCATGCACGCGCTTGTTCACGACAGGCACCTCTGTTGGGCAGAACCGCAAGTCTGCGGCTCTCGTCGAGACAGGCCACGGCGAGGAGACAGGGTCGAATCCAGCCGCCGCACAGCCTTGCCGCAGGCGGCTATTGCACCGTGTGGGTCGAGCAATGAGTGCGGCGGCGACCGGCGGTCGGCGGGTGGCCGGCGGTGGTTAGTGGGGGGGGGGGGGGATGATTAGCAGCCCGTTTAGTCAGACAGCGGTCGGTCGGTTGTGATCTTATGACTAGAGGTGGGGATGGAGGGAAGCAGCGTAGGTGGCCAGGTGTGGGGGAGGTGGGGGGGGGGGAGCGGAGGGGAGACGTTTTGGACAAAAGTCGTAGGAGGTTATGAGTCAGGAGTCAGATAATTCTCGTGTCTTTTAGTCGGTAAGTCTGCAGCAGCAGCAATAAATGTGCTATCTGAAAGGTCGAACACGTGTCAATTCTGTTAATACGACTGCTTGTTCAACCGAAATACGTTCTTTAAGTGGAAAAGCCTGCAACGCCTACCTTTAAGGAAGGCTAGTTAACTTGAAAAAGAAAGGAAAATGTATTTATCTATGTAAAAATGGCATTAGCGTAAAGGTGAATCGTGTTTCTCGAGCAGTGCCATTTCGAAATAGCGCTTCTCTCTAATGAAGATGTCCCCTTGTTTAATGACATTCTTAATGGCTCTAGACTCGCTTAGACCAGACTCTAGACAAGTCCTCTCAATAATTAAAGAAAACGTCACCTTTACTTCTGAAGAGCCTAATATTCCTGGTTTTCCTAGTAGGCTTTCATTCCGTTTTGTCGTTCAGCCACATAAAAACAATGTGGCAGTTCTGACAAATGTTTGGTCCTGTGCTGAAGCCCAATCGGCAGTTGATATGAATTTGTTGACACCAGCACTGGCTGCATTTTGGGCACCACCACTGACCGCAGGACAGTGCCGTCAGGAAATCATATAGCTGAGTGGCTCAGCCCTGAACACTGATGTCTACATCAAACCAAACGCCAAACAAGTCAACAGCTGACAAAACGTGCAAGTGAACTATTTTAAAAATGAGGTCGCAGTCATCTTGAGGTTAATCGGGGTCGTCCATAGCATAAAATTATCAGCCTTGCATGACTATCAACCTACTGATCACGAACTTATGTCCTGCTTAGAATAAAGAAAAAAATACAACTTGAGACCTGGAACAAGACGCATACAACGGTGCAAGCACCATAACGAATACAATACACCGACATCACCTAACATACGCTAAGGTCTTTTCCACAAAAACTCATGTTCATAGCAAGAGGAAGCGCCACTTTCGGCAACAACAAATGCTACAGCTAAAGCGATGACAATGAGCAGACGGGTAAGCACCAGGGACAATGACCCACCCCTGTAATCTGGCATGGGATAGAGTAGATAGACGCTGCTAGATTGTCTGCAGCCCAATTTGTTTAGGACCAGGCTGGGTGGTCACATGAAACCCTAGACGGTCATTTGGATGCTACCTTTCTACCGTGAGCTTGGAAATTGTGGTGGACGATATGTGTAGATAGATGACCTAGGAACTTACAGAGCTATTCAGCTCAAGGTTCATTTTTCTCCAGTCACCCGATATTTCCTTCTAAGTTTGAAAAAGCATACAATTATAGCAAAATATTCAGGTTCATGGGGGCTCAAGCTCCGTAACGAGTGTTAACCTCCACTGAAAAAGTTGCAAATAAAACACAACGTTGGCCTTTAATGCACTCAAATGTTGCGTGCAGGGACCGTCGATAATTTGGAGCAACACACCCCCTCATCCACTGCAGAAAATGAAAATAACTGTGTCGACACGCTATAGCATGATGGCTGGCGGATCTGGGACGCGACATTTACGTGCCAAGGACGATCAAGAACCAGAATAAGGAAATGAAGGATGGAATAAGGAAATAAGAAAGATATAGAGAACACGGTCCGTTAACTCTACCAAAGCTGAACACAAGTGGCATGCTGAATTCGCCGAGTTCGGGAACGAATACAAGTAAAACCCAGGATCCACGCCATAGGGCTACCAAAGAACAGCCAAAAGTCCCGTTTGGTAGGAATGTGAGCGCACCACACCTTCGCCAGCGAAGGTTTTCAGACAAGTGTTATGCTAATGCTGACCTGTGAAGCAACGTACCCTTACAACCCTGGCCTCAACACGAAAAATACAAGGAAGTACACGGCCATAATCCGTACCAAACTCCTTCAAACATGATGCAAAGCAAAAATGCCCATGACATGGTGGTTTCCTCTGAAATCCGCCGCAAATGTTGCAGCTATATCACACGAGCTTGAAAGAAATGTGAATTATTTTTGCATACGATCGCTGTAATCAAGGAAGTACGTGCATATACGGGAAACGTCTTCGAGTTATTAGGTGAGAAACCGATGTTCTGTCACAGTTCTCACGCGCGTCAAAACCGCAACACCCCAATGACGACAACTGACCCGTTTTAGTGGCTTTTTTGCGTGACCATTCTGACGTAACAAGGTCGAACAAGGCCACTTTGGGATTTAGCATATGACGTTGAAATGAAAAAAGGAAGAACGTTTCTAAACCTTGCATGACCTTGGCAGTGCTGATGGCGTTGATATGATTGTCGTCGAAACAGATCCAATTCGGCGATGGAATGCTGAGCAATCTAATAACCTTCATAGCTGGGGAAACAACATCACACGAACGCAACATTGTGTAAGCATTTGCAATTACAGGTCAGTATTGCGTCGGGAGAAAAATATATATCGAGAAGAGCCGACAGTGATAATCACATTGTACGTAATTATGACTTGGTTTCACATGCAAATACAGATACATCAACCAGCGCGTTACATCTAACACAACGTCATCTAAGACAACTACATCTACATCATTACATCTAAGCACAGCTAACGAAGCAGAACTCGTACAAATTTTCATGGGCAGTCATTGGGCACAATTAGCAAACACCAGGCATATTGTTACTTACCAAGAAGACTGCTTCGTCCCGAGGATGAAGATGACTCGAATGATTCTGAAACAAGAAGATACACATCAGTTATGAACAAAATAAAAGAGAACGATGGGCGAAGAATGGAGATTGACTAGGACCCAATCGGTGCTCGTACAAGTCGCAACTTTCGATTTTGTATGTCTGTAATTCGTAAAATACATCGATTTATTAATTCAACTCTACTACATGTTAAAGTTAATTATGATAAGGCTTAGTCAGGACGGAGGTTTCAGAGTACCTAAAGGTGGATGAGCAAAATAAGGTAAGCATCGTCATTCAGAGTTAGTTAACACTTGCGCCCATGTGGAGCTCGATTTCCGTTGACTACCAAGAACCAATAACCACAGGACTACCAAACAGTGACTGTCACATTACAGAGCAATACAAAAACGACACATTATAACAAAAATGGCCACTGAAGGAGCAATACGATCGCTGGCTTTGGCAAGAATTCAAGTGTTCAGAGAGGAACACGCCAAAGCCCCGGTTCACATATGACAACTTTCGTGCACTCGAGGATGTCTCATCAGGAAACAATGGGCTCAGATATTGACCAAGTTCGCGATACAATGCCGTGTAAACTTTGTAACCAAGCAAGAAACGGAATGAAAACGAAAATAACTTCAATCATGTAACAATGACACACTTTTTCGCTAAATCCACTAAGCTACCGAAACATGCATTGCTACACTCGATAGAGAAAATGCTGTTGAGCGCATAGCAACTGTCAAGCGAGGAATGAGCCAATAGTTGACACGAAATTCCTCCGAGAATCGTGACCAAGTGCTACGAAGATCCACTCAGAAAACGAACAACACTGAAAAACCGTCGAAATATCAGCGTTCGAATTGAATGAATGGCTCGGTGAACACTGTCGCCCAACACGCCAAGGTTACTGATGGCACAGAGAATGTGTGTCGTTCTCAGGCGCATCACGGCCGGGGCATGTCGATGGACTAGTGGAAGGCTCAGTGTCACTCAGCAGATCAGCCAGTAGGTGGTCCATTCGACTGAGCATTGGATATCACGTACCCAAGAAAGCATACAACGCATGCAATAACATGGGCTGAGTATTATTTCCCATCAAGATCAGTTATGTGCGTTGACGTTGCATGTGTTTTACCTATACAACATGTCAATAAAAATATTGCAAGCCACAACAACAACAAACATAAAACATAGGCGGCAACCTATATTATTCAAATATAGCTAATTATGAAAAATGATAAAAGTATGACCGATTTCCGGCAACACAGCACGATTGCTGGAAAAATAGCATTGTGTTGCATCCTATTTGCGCAATAACATTGCGCAATTGTTTATCAAATGCACCCGAAAACAACAGCCACTTCTACGACCCATCACCGATCCCGACTTCACGAGCGAGACGCCTAATGTCACGTCACTGGAAGCAGGACGGGGCGGTGCCCTCTGAAAGGACACCTATCCTGCAGAGGAGTGGTCCAGCCGTCACACCCAGCGCACGGCAGCGCAGACTCTGCGGTACGGAGCAGCCAAGACAACAAGACCGCAAATCCACCGCCGACAAAACGCCCAGACAGGCGCGCGCACCAGTTATGTCTGACGGAGCTTAGAGCTTACTGACGGACGCGTGACCAGGTAGGTTCTGGAAAGATTCCGCTTTGATGCTTAACATGCAGAAATGTCAATGATAATGTAAAAACAAGACGGTAAATACATTCTTTACAATCAATCATGAACCTTACTTCAAAGCGTGTCTAACGAAACAAATGAAATAAAAAAGCAGGGTTCGGTTTTGGTGAAAGACTTGCTGCATTGTTCACCATTTCCCATTCCGAGCATCGCACGCGATTTTCCACTCATCAAATCATAATAACAAAAAAGGAAGACATTCATTATACACTTAAAAATGACGTAATGCAACCTTCAAAGGTATATCTTTGGGACGAACAAATTGATTACAACACAACACGGACATGTATACAACAACGAGCGCAAACAATGCTCAAAACAGAAATCCAACATCGCATGTACCGTAAATCAAAGACGACAAGGGAAACCGAACGCGAAGTTTCCTTTTCGGCCTCAGCTCGGATGCTGCCTATATCCTACACATACATTATGTATATCCTCGTACTTATCGAACTGATACAACATAGCACGAATCGTTTTTTATCAGTGCAAAACTCGGCAGCAGAATGATAATCTCGAGAAAATACGCTTTTCGGCACGTGCACACTGCACAGTGGAGGCTTATAATGCACGTGCCATGTTATAAAAAGAACCGTTGGTCTGACCGCAATACATGAAAGTAGATGAAAAGTGACAGAATCTCCTTCAAGGCGAGGTTATCAAAGATTTGTCAAACCACCATGTAAAACTACCGGTAATAATACAAAATGATTGAGTTATAGAGGGTGACGTTTTGCGTCAAAGATTTATATCTGTAAATAAATCACAGATAAGCACTGCAGTCAGTTGTTGTCGATAACATCAACTTAAGGACAATAGCCTTACACTATAGAACCACAAATCGAATTGTGGTAAAATAAGTTAGGCATAAAAGCGAAATAATAAATTTAAAAATGGTAAAAAAATATAATACAGTGCATATGTAAAATAGCAACAAATAGTAAAGCCGCTGAAAAGTGTTGCAATCAAACATGCTGAAAATGCCGCAAGATTAGGCACAACCATAATGAAAATTCGCATCACAACACGCAAATCTGTTCAGCGAACACGCATCACATCTGAACTGCAAACATTAACGAAGTAAATGACACCCATTTTACTGCAATGTAAAATGGCAAACTAGCTTACAGCAATTGTGAAAACACCAGCACATTCATAACCCGTGACCACAAGTCATCGGCGCCCTATTCCGCTCAAGAATCCTCGAGAATCATCACGAAAAGATTCCCTCTTGACGTGTCTGGAAAATAGTGACGCGGGCGTAAAATCTTAGTTCAAGTCTGCGATAATCAGTGTAGGAACGTGCTCGGCGAAATAACCCAGTGAAATGAATGAGTCACAGAGACTCAGAGATCATCTGCCGCCACCGGCTGGGTGTGACCGATTTTCAGCAGAAGAATTTCAGAATTATCTCACAAGATCCCATGAGTCACACTAAACGGTGAGACATAGCGTGCTAATTTTATCTGAAAACAGGTGTCACCTGCAACACATTTCACATTGTCGCCAGTAGACCAAAGAGAGAGACTCATGCCATAAAAATGTGGGCATTGAGATTAAATTCGCCGGAAACGCAGCTTACGACCGATGGGTTCTTTGTGCGTGCAATGCGTCCTTTCAAAGACCTGCTAAATGCATTACATTTCCGGAGAGAATGCAATCAAATTGAGGAAAAAAAACAGACAGGCAGTGAATGGGAAGAATGGATGTAATCAAAGCAATTGATTTGGAGAACAAGCGTATAAGGGAAGGGATGGAAGGGAGGGCTTAACATTAGAGGGAGAACAATAAATATATTTTAGAGAGAGAGAGAGAGAGAGAGAGAGAGAGAGAGAGAGAGAGAGAGAGAGAGAGAGAGAGAGAGAGAGAGAGAGAGAGAGAGAGAGAGAGAGAGAGAGAGAGAGAGAGAGAGAGAGAGAGAGAGAGAGAGATGCTGATGGCATATATGTCAGATAAAATTATGCAGTCATTCATCGGTCTGACAAATATGAGCATGCGGGGCAGTGATGTCCCGCAAAAGAAAAAAAAACAAGAGAAACGACAAACAAAATATTAGAGGGAGCGGCAGGTGAAATCAGCAAATTTCTCAAGTCATCCTCGTGACCGGTTCTGCATCGCTCCCACTTTTTTAACATCTCTTATTCAGAGAGAAACATCCCGAATTCAGACCGTCCCCGAATTGCCAGAACTGTGCCGTGTCAAACACCACCAGTAATCCATGTGTGCACTGTTTGCAGTCAGAGAGACACAAACACGGAGCCCAGGGAGCACCAGTGCCTTCTGAAGGAGCCAGCCTAATCATCAGGAGCGGTGTCCGTGGGTGCGGCCCCGAGAGACGACACCGGCCGAACAAATAGAATACCATGTTCGACAAATTTCACCAGAAGTCTGCCTATCGTGGCATCAGGATCTGGGATCACGAGCAGATTAGGGTACCGGCTGTATGGGATCGACCGGAAAAATGACACCACACCTAAGACTGAGAGGCAATGGGTGCGGCTCCGACCTCAGTCGAACTTTGGACGGTATTAGAATACACAGAGTACGCCAGAAGGACCAACACGCCAATGAGACATGACTGAAAGTGTAGGACTTTGCGATATTAGTGGTGCTTTCGAGAGTTCGTTTAATTCAATGTGACATGGTTTCGACTTTCGAGTCATTCGTTCGACATCGAGAGATGATACTCGTCAAGTCAATCCTGAGGCTGACCCTTACATCAGCAACTTTTCAAGTGAAAGCTCACAGGAACAATATGGTAGATGTTACTCATATAGTAATGGATATCGGAGGGCTTTCATGACGCTCAAAAGTAACGACCACCCACGCAAAATGTTTCGACATGATAAAATCCACAGATGAAGCACGATTCAAACACCTTCGCGCAACACGAGGGATTCTTAGAAAGCTGTTCTCTGAACTGGTGCGAAAGCTGTAATCCTAAAGAGCCATCAGTCACGTGCAACATTTCAGGGGGTAGGTAACAACATGACACGAATTTCGCAACATTGAGATACAAAACACTGCGCAAAGCTCTAGTTTTCATTCAACTAATTTGTCAAAAGCTTGTCTTAGTTAAAAGTTGAACGGTGACATAATTCAAAAAAGGGACAAAAAAAAACATCAAATGGTAAAATCATCGTGTTTTGCGGGGAGGGCTTTCATGGCGATACCAGAGTCTTCAGGGCGCCAATACAACAATGATCACCGTTACAGTCATTTATCAACCGTTTTCACAAGCGAATCCGCATCGACAAGAAAAGATATTCCAGCACACAATCGAACAAAATGCCACAAATATGTCCGCAGCCACAAGGTTATTCAAGTACATATACAATGGCTGTGTT